CACCAGTTCTGGGACTACCTGATCTCCCCCAGTGTATCCTGTTCAACAATTTCTTGCAGGTGTTGGACAGGACACATCTTTCTGCAGCTTTCAGGTATGCAGTGCTAAGGGAGTGCTAAGTTAATGAAAATGAACTGGCTGTGCAAAGTATGTAACTTCACCACCTCAAAACGATCAGACGTATTGAAGCACAGCAGATTACAACATGGGCATTTTGGTCGAAACCAGTCCATACCCTGTCTCCATTCTGATTGTCCTTGCACCTTTAGGACATGGGGTGCATTACGGACACATCTGTCTAGGCATCACTCACAGGCAACCAAGCCAGGCCACATCCTTGCCTTCACGTGCCTAGTCTGTAATTCATGCTTTTTTGACAGTGAAAGACAATATTTGGAGCACATTGGTAGCCATCTCAAGAGATTTGAAACTGTGCCTTGTGTTTTTAAAGGTTGTGATTATAAGACAAATATATACACAACCCACATTCAGTGGAAGATTTTAAGACCTCTGTTTTTCATCAATACCAAATGCAAACAGATGAAGAAACTTTGTTGAAGAGGTATACACTGTGACTCTGTCCTTGGGGAGGATGAGGATTTGCACAAAATTATTATTAAGAGACTGGGGTTGCTCCTACTTAAATTGGAATGCATTTTCAATGTCTCCAATACATGCATAGATGAACTAGTAGGGGAACTTAATTTCCTTACAGCATCTGCATCTGGACCCGTGATTAAAGAAATTGTCTTGAGCACTTTGAGAAAGCATAGCTGTACTTTTGAAGATTCTGTGATATCAGAACTGGTTAAAGACCTTAGCCAGCTAAACCCTTTCTGTGCTGCTTTAGGAGTGGATGGCACTTTAGTCAGTACAGGAGAGCGCAATTTATGAAGGAGCATTTCTCGCCGATTGAACTAGTTGAGTACATACTTCATAGTCGTGAGAAAAAGACATGTCAGTATGTACCGATTCTCCCATTATTGTCTCAACTTGTGAACAACAGACACATTCAAAACACAATATTACAGAACAAAAGGCCATCTGATGTCTCTTTTGGATACAAATCATTTCATGATGGATCTTTCCTAAAAGAAAACAGCTTTTTATGTGAAGATGAACTTAAACTCCCACTCATCCTTTACATAGATGACTTTGAAGTCTGCAACCCTCTGGGAACATCCCGCAAGAAGCATAAAGTCACAGCTGTGTACTGGGTGTTTGCAGACATACCTGCCACATTGCGATCTACTCTAACTTCTATTTACTTAGCCATTCTTTGCAAGGCAGATGATGTCAATCAGTATGGATACCAAAAAGTGCTGGAGCCACTGCTCAAAGATTTGAAGTCCTTCGAAGATGATGGTATTTTTGTACCAAGTCTGGGCAAAGTGCTCAAGGGTAGTGTACTTGCTGTAGTCGCTGACAATCTTGGTGCTCACTCAATAGGTGGCTTTGTTGAAAGCTTTTCGTCTTCACATTTCTGTCACTTTTGCATTGGAGAATGGTCACAGATCCAACAGCATGAAGTAGGAGAAGGACTGTTTCCTGTACGGACCAAGTCCAACCATGCCATTCATGTTAAAGCAGCATTATCTGATCCCACTGAAGGTCATCATTGTGGTGTAAAAAGACAGTGTCCCATCTCTGACAGACTGAGCTACTTTCATGCTACATCAGGTTATCCCCCTGATGCTTTGCATGATTTACTTGAAGGGATTGTACCTGTAGAGATATCACTCTGTCTTAGTGTGTTTATCAAGAAGAAATACTACTCTCTTCAGGAGCTCAATCATTCCATCCATCACTTTCCTTACAAGTGGAATGACAAAAAAAACAGCCCACAAGCTATTGCCCCAACTTTTGCATCACGAAAGAGTGTAGGAGGCAACGCACACGAAAACTGGTGCTTGTTGAGGTTGTTACCATTTATGATTGGTGACAAAGTACCAGAAGATGACCCAGCTTGGGAGGTTTTGATGACCCTGAAAGATATTGTTGAGATTGTCATGGCTCCTGTACACAC